GTTATAGCTTTGAGCTAATTTGTCTGTGGAAGTAGCACACCTAGTTGGGGCTCATAGACAGCTGCATTTACAAAAGTTGGACACAGCTAACCAGTAAAATAGACAAGGATTAAAATCCTCTGTCACACACATCAACCCTTTCTGACTGTCACCTGCAACTTGACCCTCAAAAATCTGATGTAGATAGTTATTATATACATAGCCATTGTAGATAGTTCATTGTATGGTTTTCCACCATCTGTCTTGATCTTCATATTCTCCCTGTGCCTGCCTGTGTTTTGTAAGTTTTGCTGCCTTGTCAGCTTTTTGTTTATTTAAATTCGTTTTAGTATTCTTGTGTACCCTGACCGCACAAACTCAGGGAAAATTATAGCACGATGAAGAGCTTTTTAAAAATATGCTGACGACAAGATGCTCACAATATAAAATAAACATTTAGTTGTTAAAGTTCAGAGACCTCATGTATAAATGGTGCAAATGCATAAAAAAGTTGCGTGCGCTAGGTTCCACGCACACATTGGTCTGTATTATCAAAACCAATGCTGAGTGAAAATGTGTGTAAATATATGCACATTTTTCACCTGCTGTGAGAATGTGTGGATAGCCATGTAAAGTTCTTCAGTAGACAGTTTTAAACCACAAAGTCTTGAATCTGACCTGAATCCCCAGCAATACTCCATTCTCTTTTCTGGATGTAAGTCTGAACATGGTGTTAGTTTTTAAGCTTTTACTGTTTAAAACCAAACGATGAAACTGAATCTCATTTAACCTCAGACAAGAAAACAGAGTAGCCTAAAAATGATCAAAACAAACTCAGTCCACTGTAAAATTTTTGATTTTTGTCATGTATATATAAAAACACATCTGAGACTGCAGGCCTACGAGCGAGGCACACACAACACAGCTGAGGAGAATAAAATGTGTGTGAATTGACAAAGAAACATTTTAATTTTCACTGATAAAAAAAATTAAATGATGGAATTGCAAACTGTCCCTGTGATGGACTTACGACCTGTCCAGGGTGCACCCTGCCCCTCACACTGTGACTGCTGGATATGGGCACCAGGGACCCACGCGACCCTGAAAGGAATAAGTGTGTACAGAAAATGGATGGATGGATGGAAAAAAATAAAGTAAAAATTTTCAGCTCAGCAGATTCACCTCACCTGTGATGATCCCTCAGGTCAACAAGATGTAGACATTATGTTCATAAATAACTGCATACAACTGTGTGTAATTTGTAGAACAATGTCAGCTGTTCCTGAGCCATGCCATGTAGCTGAATGAGATGATGACACAATTCTTAAATATTTTTAAAAATTCTCTACCTGCAACAGAAACTCTCCACTGAGGAGCTATGACTCGTTTCTTTACATCAACTATTTAATAAATAAAGCTCTAAGTTCAACCAAACTCATAAGTTCCTCTGTGGTTACAGTCCTTCATTAAAGTAGTGGAAAGCTGGAAATGTTTCTCAGTCTCGTACCTGTGAAAACAGCAACTTCACACACGTGCGTGCACACACGGCTTTATTATTAATAATTATTAATTATTATTTCTTTTCATGTGGCAAATACATTTTTACACCCCATTACTTATTTAGAACTTTTTCTCACTCATTGTCCATTTTATTTATAATTTTCCTGCCTCTAGAAATCATTTCTGATCATGCAGGGATGATAATTTGTAGAGAATCACACATGCTGGACACACTTTCATCTATTTTAAAGATTTAGACGGAGTTGTATCAGGTTGAGAGGTCTCAGGTGCACTAAGTTCCACATCCATTAGGATATATAAAGGAAAGAATTGCAGAAATGTGTGTGCACAGTTTCATACATCTGAATTTTTGTTTTTGTGGAACGCTTTTCAAAATTTGTCCCTAAGCCAACTTTTAGTGTGAACGCTGCATTCTCTTTTATCCATGAGGCCCCAGGTCTGTTTATTAATCGATTCAGACATCATCTATCCTGTCAAGTATGGATTATCAGTAAATTAAATGGATTTCCCCTCATTTTGCTTGCCTGGCCTTCCTACACATTTCCAGTTCCATAAAGCAATCCTTTCTCTTTAGCCAAGAGTCCAGTCCCCAAGAACAAGGGGCTGATGTTTCCTAAGCTACCTGTTTTGCTTGGAGGATTGTAGTGTGTGTGTGTGTGTGTGTGTGTG